ATTTTTTTTATCAAAAATCCTCCCAAAACAAAACTACATTTGGAAAACATTCAAGCATTTCAAGTATACTCAGTGTTGTAGAAATCGGCCTTGGCGGCCGATTAATTGGCGATTAATCGTTTGGCGGCCTTGAACTGATTACGATTAGGGTGTCTGGCGGAAATTGGTCAAAATCGGTCAAAGTCGGGCTTGGCGGTCTCGGCGGTCATATGCGGGAAACATTTAAAAAAATTCAAAAATTTTATTTTTCAAATATTTGACCAAAATTTTAAGTTTTCAAATTTTAAAATATTATATTAAAATTTTCAAAATTACAAAATTTTAAAATTTTAATTTTTCAAATACTTAATTTTTTAGGAAATATTAATTTTTTAAATAATGTTATTAATAAATTAGGGTCCCCGATTAATCCCCGTCTAGTCTGATTAATTGTTTATCGCCAGTCGACCGCCGAGCTACCGCCAAATGATATTTACAACCTTGAGTATTATGCACCTATAGGCAGTTTTCCTTTTAGTTTAATGATTTTAATAGGAAAATAACTTAATTTGTACAGTTATATATGGTTGATTATCTTTTACTTTATTTTTATAGAATTACTAAAAATGTTAAGCTAAATTGACTTAATGCAATAGGTTACAAATCATTTACCTATTTCACTTTTTTTTCTTCCAACTTTTGTGCTGTTAAAATTGATTAATATTGTACTAACCAATGAATATTGTTGTAACATATGTTTTTAGGTACTAATCTTTTAGCATTTAGATTATTCAAGTTGTGATTTCGAGATTTATGATTGACCGCGGCGCGGTGCTGGAGACCAATCACAGCGCGGCCACATGATTTAAGTCGTTGTGTTGTCAGGGGCTGGCCGCGACGCGGTGGGCCGGATGGGCCAAGCCCTAAAAACCTCGGGATTTAGGCATATTTAATGGAACAAACCCCTAAGGTTTCGTCATTTCACAAGCCTCCATCAACAAAAACGTCTCATAGCAACCCTAGCCCCTCTCCCATGTGTTCTTGAGGTTCTTTTTTGCATTTTGTGTAGCTTAAAGAGGAAGGAAGGTCATTGTGGTGTTTAGGAAGCTTTGTTTAAGCCTTGTTCCAGCTTTGAAATCATAGTTCTAAGCTATTGTGAGTTTAAAGTCTCTACGTTGATCTTTGGTTTCTTAGATTCATTATTTATGGCATTTTATTCCCTTTTGGTCCATTCTTTTGAGAGTTTTTGGAGTTTGGAGAACTCCAGAACTTGGTACTCAAATTTGATCATTTCCAGACTTATTGGTTGAGAGAAAGAGATGCTTCATGCTTGCATACATTCTCTTTAAGACATGAAGGTGTTAGATCCATTCTTAAGTTAGGGTTTGTATTTATGAAAGATTTGGGCATGAGAATGAGTAAAGTTGGAAACTTTATCTATTAAGCTCTTTTTTGGGATCAGATTTGAGTAGTTGTAGTGTTGGATGTAAGGATTAAGTTCTTAATGAGTTGGGTTGTGAAGGACGTCTACCGTGGCGCGTTGGGTCGCTGGTCGCAGCACAGCGTGGGTCGCAAGACCCAGTTGCAACTATTTTGTCCTTTAGTAATCGGGGCGTGACTAAGGAGCTGGTTGCGGCGCGGTGGTTGGTGAGGGTTGACAGTTGATAGTTAACTTGGACCAGTTTGACTTTTGGTCAAACTTGATGGTTTTAGGTTGTAGACTGAGGTGTGGCCTCTAATTGTTATAGATGGTTCGTGTTGATGTCGTTGCTTGACTTAGAGTGTTGATTTTCAGCTTTTGATTCCGGTGAGTCTTCTTACTATACCGTAGGACACTGGTGTCAGATTATGTTAGTTGTCTTTGTGACTCTTGCATGTGTGTTGTATATTTGTTGGGTTGGGCCCATTTGTATGTATGTTCAGTTGGGCCCGCTTAAATGAAACATAATTATTGGGCTAGGCTTGTTATCTAAAATGGTATGTGGTATTTTGGGGAGCTTATTAAGCTTTGTGCTTAGTGAGTTCTTCTCATATTATGTGGTATTTTTGGGGAACTCACAACACAGTCGATAGCTAACATGCTCACACAATCGAAAATCGGGTACTACACACCTCCTAATGAATCATATAAGGTAAACTCTTAATCTACCTTCTAAAACTAGCAATATGGCCAAAAGTCAACCAGGTCAAAAAGTCAAGGATCAATGGTCAAAGTCAACTTCAAAATGTCACCATGTCATGACCTACCCTTGGCCACATCATGTCAATTCAACCTAGTCGCCACCAATGGCGGAGCTTATGTAGGGCCAGGGGGGCTGTGGCCCCCCCTATTTTTTTCATAATTACTCCATAACTAATAAAAAAGTTACATATTATGCCTAAAACTATAAAATTTGACTTTGCCCCCCCCCCCCCCCTGTTCTTCAATTTTTATACATATTCTATTTTCGCCCCCCCCCCCCCTCCCCCCCCCCCCCCCAAACCAAAACTTCAAGCTCCTCCACTGGTCGCCACCAATTCCAATTCCACATTGTGGCAAACATGCCACCGCGCCGTGGTAACATCTAAACAAAACAGTTGTGAAATCCCTCTTAACCACGTCGTGACGTGCATCATGTCACGACGTGGTTTCTAACTGAAACAAATTATTTTATTAAGCTCTTAATCTGATAAACCACCTTTGCTCAAACTTTACAGAGGGCTTCTAGGGACTTTAAGGTCTCATAAAAATCCAAACTTTATGGACATGCATGACCCATGCATATCCCTCACTCGAACTAGGTCAAATGGTCAGAAAATGTCCTACAACGCTTGAAAAGTTTACAAAATCTCATCCAACTTCTTGATCCAAAAGATATTAGGCTTAAGGGATCTTGGTGAGCCATAAAGTTGCAAACTTTATCTCATCTCTTTACTCAAACTTCATATATAGACCAAAACATGCTAAGAAAGCTAGATCTACAAGAAAGGAATCATAAAAATGGGAACTTGAGGACTCACAAATACTCCAGAAGATGTACGAAAGGATGGAGGTGGCTTGCTTGTTGGATTCAATCACTAAAGACTATTTCTTCCTTCCAAGGTCACAAAAACACCAAAGATGAGCTCAAAACTTACAAGAAGGCTAGAGTTTTTGTCTAGGGCACTTTGGAGGATGTGAAGGCTAGGGGTGGAAGGAAACCCTAGCCATTACTTCCTTTAAAATGGGCCTTAAGCCCGAAAATTTAGGGTTTTCCTTCCTGCAGCCTCCACGTCGTGGTCATTAAATGGGTTGCACGTTCCTGAAGATATGCCATGTCGTGGTAACCCTCATCACCACGTCCTGGCCATCCAAAATTCACAAACTTAAATTATAAAAGTTATACTTGAAATCGGATGTTACACAATACGATATTAAAGTCTTGAAAATACCCTATGATATTAAATTCTTAAAAAGTCGAACATACTTGAAATTAATTTTCTTCAACTATATCAAGATCCCAACATTCCTAAACCCGAAGCCTTTAAAAGTCGACAAACATAACATATAAGTCTCGTTTGACACTACAACCTTTTAACGTTTAGTTTAAACAAAACGGTTCAAATCTAAATCTACCTAAGTAGTGTTTAACAAAATGCTATCAGCTACCAGATACTAGCTACCCACTACCCGCTACCAACTACTTTTGCCGAACACACCCATAATAACCTGAAACTCCAAAAAAGTTCAATTCACAATAAAATAGTCATTGATTGTGGATAAATCCAAATATTTACTCCTCCAAAATAATTGAACACATCGTCACAACCCGCTTAAGCCAAAAGATTTATCATCTTCATTTGCCACCAAAAATAAAACAAACACTTTTTGCTACGATCTAGAAGCAAAAGTTAATATTTGAATTTAACCATGGGAAAAAATGACTTTAAATAACCTCCAAAGAAGGCTAAAGAAAATTTGATATATACAAACCAGAAAAATCAGGGCCAGTCCTAAGGAATTAAACATTTTCAAAGGTCCAGGACGAGCCAGAAAAAATGATCCTTATTGTTATTATAAGTTTTTTATTTTTAAATAAAAATATATATAATATATAATAAAAAAATCCCCCCCCACACACACACACAAACACGAGAAAAATCTGAAAATTGATTTATAAAGGTTTGAAAAAATCAATTTATAACGGTGGAAAATCGATTAGAAAGGCTGGAATATACTTTTTTTTTTGGCAAAAATTGATACATGGCACTGGCTAGTTCTAATGGTTTAAAATTTAATATATATATATATATATATATATATATATATATATATATATATATATATATATATATATATATATATATATATATATAGGGTTGAGATCGGTTGAGAACTCATAGTTTTCCAAGTACCCGAGAACTAAAAGTGGAGCGTTAGATCAAAACTAATTCATTAAGGGCATGATCGTAATCTTATCGATTTCATTTAATGTTTAATTTTGTGTTATTCTACATATTAATAGAAATGTCTAAAAAATTACATAATAAATCAAATTTTCGGATTTTTTTTAAAATAGTATTTTTTTCAGCTTTTTTTTTAAAGTGCAACTTTTTTAATTTTTTTAAGAAAACATGAATTTTTGAAAAAAAAAATCAATTTTTTGCAGATTTTAAAAAAAATAGTATTTTTCAGTTTTTTTTTAAATAGTATTTTTCAGTTTTTAAAAAAAAAAACGTGCAGATTTTTTAGTTTTTATTATAGAAAACATGAATTTTTGAAAAAAAAAATTGAAAAAAATATTTTTTTTAAAAAAACTGCATTTTTTTTGGAATCAATAAAAAAAACTGGAATATTTAAAAAATACTATAGTTTTTTAACAAAAAAAATCAACATTTTTAGTACATTTATGCATATTTTTACAAATGCATATATGTATATTTCATATACTACAATATTTGTAAGAAAATCATAAGAAAACTCATTTTATTTACTAATCTATAAACACAATACAATAAGTATTTTATTCAATACAATATAAAATATAAAAAACAAAAAAATGCTACAAAATTTCAAAGCATTTTCATGTCTTCGTGTCATTATTTCCATATTTTCTTCAATTTATCATTTTCCACCTCTTCAATATTCACCACAATTTCTTTCAAATCTACAAGAAAATTAAAAAAAATCCGATTGATGCAAAAACACTCACAAAAATACATATGTGATTTACATGTGAATCACATGTAATTCATATGTGATTTACACGTGAATCACATGTAATTCATATGTGATTTACATGTGAATCGCATGTAATTCATATGTGAATCACATGTACTTCATATGTGAATTACATGTGAATCACATGTAATTCATATGTGAATTACATGTGAATCACATGTAATTCATATGTGAATCACTTGTAATTCATATGTGATTCACATGTGAATCACATGTACTTCATATGTGAATCACATGTAATTCATATGTGAATTACATGTGAATCACATGTAATTCATATGTGAATTACATTTGAATAATATGTAATTTATGGATCAAGACATCAAGTATCCAGGCAAGTTTTGATTTAGAAAAAGTAAACCAAACCGAAATACCTTGATTATAGCCATATATGGCTTCTTGTTTGGTCCTTCGGTATAAGGAATTAACAACATAAGATGCTCCTACACATACACAAAGACACATGAACAATTTATTCATGGTGCACAAATTTAATATCAAATATATATATATATATATATATATATATATATATATAATCTGACAGAATTATTGAACATATAAATAGATTATAGTGTGTAGATATCAATTGAATCTAGCAAAGACTCGATATAGCAAATCAAAATCCTAGAAATCATGCTTCATAAACTCGAAGAAAGAGAGGTTATTACTTTAGAGGAAGGTCAATCCTAAACCCTAAGATCCTTCCATATATTCTCATAAAATTGCTTCATAATTCAAGAATTCAAGAGTATGGTGACCACTGAACACTGCAACAAGCATTGATTGAGGCTCACCTTGAGTTAGAGTATCAACAACTGTTCTGAATTTCATTCCCCCTGTCATGCCAAAAGATAAAGGAGAAAACGTGCTTGACTATGACTAAAACCCCTAAAATGTTACCGAATCATGAAAGAAATCATGAATAAGATAAGCAAATTTCTGAATTACCGACTCATTTTTCATTTACATTTTACAGTAGAAGCTTATGCAGTGTACATATATCACAAAACAATCATCCAATAGTGCAAAAACAAACAACAGTTTGACTTACAAAACAGGTTAAATGAAAGCATTAAGTAACTAGGGCCTATGATTCATAAGGATGGAGGGGTTGAGGTAGCAGACGTTATGCATCTTATTAAGGCTGCCTGGCTATAGTGGAGGGTAGCTACATGTTTATTGTGCGACAAGAAGATCCCAAATCCCAAATTCACATTGATTTAGTTTACATATGTCCCACATAAGAACACGTCAGCAAAAGCAAAAGCACAGTCACTCCGATTATATCTTTTTCACGGATCTTTGATGGGTCTGGTGGGTCCGCCTTAAAAATAATTCAAATTAGTTATTTTTTATTTTTTGTTTTTTTGTTTTTTAGGTGGTTGAATATGTATTTACCTGAAAAACAAAATTCATACCAACACCACGATAGAGCCCTCTAATCCCAGCATCTCTATAAGCTCTTGAAAAGCAATCCCTAATTCCTCTGTATGCATGTTCGCTACTCATGGCTTCTTTCATGTTCAATTTGGGAGTATCCATAACCTGTGCTATCATATGAGAATGATTGAGCTAGTTAGACACTCAAATTGTGGCTAATTGCATATTAAAAAAAGTATGTAGCTATTTTTTTTGAATTTAACCCTTAAAATAAAGATGTGGGAATGATGATTGTATACCTGGTAAGCCAATTTGGTTCTAACTAAATCAAGTGGATAAGTAAAAAAGAACAGCAGTTCCTCCAGATAATGATCCTGCTTAACAACTGGACCACTTCCCATTCCAGGAAAGTTGTAGTCGATATGTCTTCTATATTGTTCATATGCCATATAATGTAAGTTGAGAATCAAATGAAAAATCCTACCAATGATCAGTAAAATAATATAATTGAGCAAATTATGTACTCCAATTTCGAATCAAGAAACCCTAACAATCAATAGATACAACTTTATAACGTCATTAACCCTAATTGAAAAATCAAAACACGAACCAGATTCAAGCTAATGAGCATGAAGACAATTAAACATGAAGGAGTTGCTGAACATACCTTCTTTGAGAGGCGAAACACACTCGTACGAGATTTCAAACTGGAAAGGCGTGAGAAACGACGCCGGATTATCCAACACCGCACGTTCTCATGAATTAACTTTTCAGAAACGTAAATCAGCTGTGAAAGAAACTCAAATCTTACATGTAAATCGGATCAGCGTCGCCGTCACTCCCGCTAATACCGGCAACAAAACACAAAATTGCAACGAGATACACACAGTGATGTGGTTCTTCTTCGCATCATATCACACTCCGATGATCGATTCTACTCCGATGACGATTTTAGGATTTGAGATCCGACGATTGAGATGGCCATTGGTACCAAATGTCATCGATTTGTCGATCCTTATCACACAGTCGGTCTATTGTTTCTTCAATTCGTCGTCGCCGATTTGGATGGTCGGAGATGCTGCGATGAAAGGTAGAGAGAGAGAGAGAGAGAGAGAGAGAGAGAGAGAGAGATGGGGACAAAGACTTGACGTGATTAAATGTATCAATTACAGATTCCCCAAAATGTCCCTGATTAATTTGAATAGGATGCCCCGTCCTTTTTTATTTCCAGGTATTTAAAAAATGCCACAAAACATCCTAACCCTTTATAATTTTGATTTAGTGGTCCTTGTTTGGTTCTCGGTTCTCGAAAAAATATAAGTTTTCAAATGATCCTTCATATATATATATATATTGCTTCACATGAATATGGCTCTAAGAAAAGCAATATTTGAAATTTTGAATTTTAAGATGTACGTACGGTTTATGTCTTTGTGAAAACCAAAATATGTCTGAAATTTTGAATTTTAAGATGTACGTACGGTTTATGTCTTTGTGAAAACCAAAATATGTCTAGTAGATATTGGTTCTAGAGAAAATTAAAACTATTACGTGGGCTCAAGTGAAATCTACTTATATGGGCTCAAGAGAAAACGATCAAATGGCTTGGGCTTAAAATATTAAGAGAACAAAAAATTATAGGAAAATCTTCAGAAAAGTCCTAATATTTTTGGAAAAGTTATACTTTAGTCCCAAGATTTTTTTTTGAACGAAAAAGTCCTGAAAACCGGCAAAATTTTGCAGTTTGACCCTTTTTGACCGGTTGAAACCGGTACCAAATTAATTTGGCACTATTTCGTAAACTAACCCAAAATAGTAGGATTTTTCTGTAAACAAAAAATATTATGATTTTTCTGTAAACAAAAATATTAGGACTTTTCTACAAACAAAACTCTTATTATTATTATTATTATTATTATTATTATTATTATTACAAATATAAATAAAAATTCTATTTTTTGAACTTGTTATTATTAATATTGTTACTAATACATATAAATGCATTTAAATGAAAAAATTATATTAATGACATTATTTAAGGGTGGAGGTGAAAGAGATGGTGATGCTTTTAGCATTGAAATCATGAATGTTTTACTTGTATATTTTTACTTTGTATATGGTCATTTCACTTTTGTTATTATTGTTTTCAATTCAGCATAATAATACTTAATAATTTAAAAGAAGTTGCATATTTGTAAAATTGTTTATAAATAGTTTAAGGTAGAAGGATTTGTTGGATTTGGAAAGTAATTCTTCTACCTTAAACAATTTTATATACAAAGTGAGAAACCCTTCTATCTTAAACTATTTATAAACAATTTTACAAATATGCAACTTCTTTTAAATTGTTAAATATTAATATTCTGAATTGAAAACAATAATAACAAATGTGAAATGACCATATACAAAGTAAAAATATATAATTAAACATTTATAATTTCAATGCTAAAAGCATCACCATCTCCTCCACCTCCACCCTTATATAATGTCATTAATATTATTTTTTATTTAAATGCATTTATATGTATTAGTAACAATATTAATAATAACAAGTTTAAAAAATAGAATTCTTATTTATATTTGTAATAATAATAATAATAATAATAATAATAATAATAATAATAATAATAAGGGTTTTGTTTGTAGAAAAGTCCTAATATTTTTGTTTACAGAAAAATCCTAAAATTTTTTGTTTACAGAAAAATCCCAATATTTTGGATTAGTTTACGAAATAGTCCCAAATTAATTTGGTACCGGTTTCAACCGGTCAAAAATGGTCAAACTGCAAACTTTTGCCGGTTTTCAGCACTTTTTCGTTCAAAAAAAAAGTCTTGGGACTAAAGTGTAACTTTTCCGAAAATATTGGGACTTTTCTGAAGATTTCCCAAAATTATATGTTAAAAAGACTTGTATATATTTCCAATCTTTGTCTTTATACGGAATTTCGACCATAATATATTTGATGTTTTGAATATATTGTAAATTAAGCCGCCGCTAACTCTTAACTTCTGTATTATATAGCATTTTATGTATATTTATTTTTGTTACGACATTGTATTTTATATATGTTTTTATTAAGGCATTTTATTTTCAGTATTTTTATTATTAAGATATGTATTTTGAAAGTTATATCTAATTATTAAATTGTATTTTAATTTTTAGTTTTATTAGGACATTATTTTTTGAAAATCTACCACATCATAACCTTAATAAGAATGCAAATTCCAAACTAGTGTAATACTCTTTGGGTGAATGATATTGTCAATAAATGAATTATCATTCATTCTTTATATACAATCTCATTGTCTATATAATTGATGATGCATTACATGGTGACAGATAACCAATAGTGATTTGTATTAACGATAAGTCTATCTTATCAACACCCAAGAACTTATCTATCTCTACTTGATAAGATTATCTTGTTGTATTTAAAATTTTGATATCTTGTACTCTGTAAACTATATATATAGTGCAATATACAATACTCCAGGATTATTGGAGATTCACAAATCATATCCTTATATGGTATCAGCCTGATTTCCGATCCTTCTATTTTCTTCTATCAGCCGGCCCTACATCTTCTTCCTCTCAATCATGGTGACCGGATCTTCTTCTTCATCTGATGTCTCCCTCACCCTCAACACTATTCTTCACATGCTGACAATTAAATTGTCCTCTACAAATTATCTATTGTGGAAAAACCAGATCACCCCCTCCTACGGTATCAAAACCTTTTCAGCCATGTCGATAGGACATCCGTGGCTCCTGCTGCCTCACTCGTTGTTGCAGATAAGTCTTCCCCAAATCCTCTATACACTGCTTGGGTTGAAGCTGATCAACGTGTCATGCTTATCATTCAAGCTTCACTTACTGAGGAAACCATGGCTGAAATTTTGGGTCTTCTCACTGCACGAGAAGCCTGGACAACTCTAGAATCAGCATATAGCCATGATTTCGTCGAGAGAATGCAAAATCTTCGTGACTCCTTGCGTCAAATTCAAAAAGGTTTGTTATCTGTCTCTGAATTTGGAAGAAAATACAAGTCTATTTGTGATCAATTGGCAGCCATTAGGAAACCAGTGGACGAAACAGATAAAGTTCATTGGTTTTTATGTGGCCTAGGGCCCTCTTTTGAGACTTTCTCAGTTGCTCATCGCACTGTCAAGCCACGCCTACTGTTTCGTGATCTTCTTGCAGCTGCTGAAGGGCATGAACTCTTCCTAAATTCTGTACACAGTTCTTCTAGCACTCCTCCTGTGTCGTTCAAAGCCAACACTGCTCGCAACTCCGCTTCCTCTGGTCGTGGTTTCTATACTCGTGGTTCTCGTGGGGCTCGATCAGGTGGCAGGGGCCGTGGTCGGAGACCACCTCACTACCAACTTTGTCGCAAAGATGGTCATTACGCCTCTCAATGCCCAGATCTCTCTTCATTTGCAACCCGCGGACCATCTATTGATGCACACTTAGCACATGCCTTTTCTACCAAGTGTAATACCCAAGATATTCCTGCCTCAGACTGGTATGTAGACTCTGGGGTGTCTGCCCATATGACACCTTCGGCCTCACAATTAACCACATCATCTCCTTATACCGGAAACGATCATGTGGCCTTTGGAAACGGTAATATTCTAAACATCTCACGAATTGGTAATGCTTCTATTACTAAAGATATCAATCTAGCAGATGTCCTTGTGGTTCCAAATTTGACTAAAATTTACTTTCTATAAGCAAGTTAACATCTGATTATCCTGTTGATGTCTTATTCTCTAATGATAAATTTGCCATTCAGAAGCGTCGAACAAAGGAAGTACTAGCAACAGGCAGGGTTGAACATGGTCTATATGTGCTCGAGCATGGTCATAAAGCTTTGCTTTCTCAACTGACTAAGAATCGGTTGCAAGCATCATACGAGCTTTGGCATAATAGACTAGGACATGTTTCTTTTTCAGTTATTTCTTTATTACACAAACATGGTTATTTATATGTTACTTCTCTTTTACCCAAACCTAGTATTTGCTCCTCATGTGAGCTCTCTAAAAGCCATAAGCTTCCATTTGCTATCAATGAAAAACACTCTTTACATGTTTTGGATATGATCCATTGTGACTTATGGGGCCCTGCACCCATTTCTTCTACTAACGGTTATCTGTATTATGCTATTTTTGTTGATGATTTCTCGAGGTTTACTTGGTTTTACCCTATGAAGCTCAAATCTGAATTCCCTTCCATTCTTAAACATTTTATGTTATTTGTTCAAACACAATTCTCATGCAAGCTCAAGGTTTTTCAGAGTGATGGTGGGAAAGAGTTTCTTAATAATCAAGTTCAAGCTATATTTTCTGACAACGACACTCATCATCGAGTTTCCTGTCCCTACACCCCGGAACAAAATGGTAGGGATGAACGAAAGCACCGTCACATTACTAAAACAGGGCTTGCAATGCTTTTTAACGCAAGTGCTCCAACTTCCTTGTGGGTTGATGCATTTAGTTATGCTGTCTACATCATCAATCAACTGTCGTCTCCGGTCTTAAACAACAAATCACCATTTGAGCTTCTCTTTCACACTCAACCAAACTTTCAAGTCTTCCGTACCTTTGGTTGTCGTGTGTTCCCTTATTTACGAAGCTACTTGGATCACAAGTTGGCTCCACGAAGCATCCCGTGTATTTTTATCGGTTACAGTACACAATATAAAGGCTATCGTTGCCTTGACATGACCACCTCAAAAATTTATACTACTCGTCATGCAAAATTTGATGAGACATTATTTCCTTTTACCGGGAACACTTCACATCTTACTGATGCTACCTTGTTACTCTCTACTTTTGACGAACCTGTTGATGTGTCTCTGCCAACCTCACAGTCTGATCCCCTTGATACTCCATCCACTTCTGTTTCGCTGGGTCCACATTCCAGCCTGTGTCATCTATGTCCAGATCTGGTACAGCCCATTCAGCAGCCACAAACCCATGTCTTAGTACCTGATCCGGATCCAGCTTCACCGGTTCATGCCGCTCCAGGTACTCCTCCAGTTCCAACCACATCAGCCAATCCCCATGCTTACTCGCAACAAGGCTGGTATCACCAAGCCTCGTCTTTTTCCTGGTTTCACA